AAATGAAGGAGGAAGAAAGCGGTGAAATTCCTATGATAACGGTAGCATTCGTGTGAATACCCTCTCGTATTCTCTTAGGAAATAGTTCGTCTCTTCTCAATATTCTGGATAATGTGAAATTAGAGTGGCACAGGTAACTACTAGTGTCTTGCCGAAAGTCACGTCATAATAGAATACGTCGTAGTAAATTTGATTAACATGTCGCAATTTTACCATACGATGTTGTGAAATACATTGTGTGCGTGGTTTCGATGAAACAAACGGAAATCCTTTGTGATAGATACACTTGAGATGTACCCTATCTCAATAGCTAATGACGCAATTCGATTATTCAAGATCAAATCTGACAGATATTTTGATGACAGACAAGGTATTACCATATGCACATGAGGAAATCATTGGCATCATTGAAGCTGCATGAAAGAAGGATATTCAGTCGCTATTCTTTTAAGTAACAAGCAAATTTATCTACCCTCTGGACAATCAGAATTAACCACAACTATTGCACAATTGAATCGAAGGACTCGCTCTGATGAACTGAAATGTTGACTACCTTCTCCCTTCAATAGGAATATAACAATTTTGACAATTTGCGTGTTGATCGATCCCAACAGTGAGGAGACATAATAGGTTAGTGAAGTATCACGTGAAATGTGCGCAATATAGTTCAATACGGGCGAGGAGACGCAAAGGGTGGTAGTGGGGAGGAGGTGGACTTGAGTGTTTGGTGGGCGTGGATGGAGAGAGGAAAGCACCAGTGTTTTGGAAGTTCCAATTAGGCCGTTTTTCGTTAGCCACCCATTTTGACTCCCCCGTTTGTGCCAGCAGATTCTAGGACACTGATTGGCTCTTCTTACATGGAGACCAGAGCTACTCATAAGAAGGACAGAAATTATACTCTCGGTAATTATTACAGCCATTCTGACAGCCTCATGAGGTCATTAGCACAGACGTTTGCGACTCTTCATGGTGGTTTCACTTCACACCCCTCATTCACAATGAAAGCTATCATACGATTTGACATGGCAAGCATGGCTTTCAGTGGGATATTTACCGAGGTAAGGTAGGGAACGACTTTATGGATTTCGGTCTTGAAATCAACTAGTGTAACGCCAATTTTTATAATCTAAGTAGAAATGCTTGTGAGTTCCTTTTGTCAGTTTGAGAATGGATTCTTGTTTCATTCTTGGCCACTCCTCGCAGTCCTCACAAAACTACCTCTTTCTTTCCCACTTGTTAGATGTTTCTATTCTCTTCCCAAATAGACGTGTCCACTTCCTACTTTGATATCGAAATTAGTTGACCATGTGTCTTAAGGAAGGCGGTATTTCGATTTGACGTTATTGAGGGAATCGCCTAACATAGTTTTGAATCGATTGAGTTGCAAGGGTGGCAGTTCAGTTGTAACCTGAAGTCCCTATCGAAGTAAGTGCATCAAAGCCCACAAGAATGAAGCCCACTTTGTTACATTCTTCAGCTCGTTCATAGACGTGAGAGGGGGGGGGGTGGTTGACGAAATATGTGACCAATTGGTTCAATTGAATCGAAGCTTAATTTCCTCCGAAAGCCTATCTAACAGCTAAAATGAAGACTATTAATAATTATCATTATTATGGATGCATGAACATGCAATTTCCTCACTTATTTATTGTTTGCACTCCCAAAGTCTCGATCACAAACGTAATGTGTCTACTTCAAATGAGCGAATTAACTTGTCACAAACTAGTGACACAGTAATTTGGCCTGATTGTCAACCGTTTGCACAGGCATTTGATTTTCCGACTTTTACGAATTTCGATCATAATGGCTATCGTTGTCAGAAATCATTCGAATATTCTCGTGACAACTCAAGCGAAATCCCATTCTGTGGGTAAATAAAGAATAGCTCAATAACTGGCAGATCGATTTCAAATTTGCATGACTGGTGTCGCCCACTCAAGTATGCAACGATTTTTCGGGACGGCATTGTGGATTTGGTTGAGCCAAGAACAGTCATGTTTGCAGTATTACGCAAGTGTGGCAATTGATTATGGAGGAGGAAGTTGAGAGAAGTAAATAAAGACCGAAACTTGTCACCAAAGGTCAGACTTTGCACGTTTCAACTTATCCTCCTAATTAATCCTTTCTCTACTTCAACCCACATTGCTCGATAACATGGGGACGGGGGAGGGGTTTCTTGATACTGGTTTCCGAGCCAGAGGTGGAGAAAATGCTTGTTCATTGGTAAGCATCTACTCACGATACTGACTCTCCAATTTCCTCATATTTTCGATGAACTTTTATCGACATTCTTTGATAACTATTTTAGTTCCCATTTTTGTTAAAACCACATTCCAATTAAGCAAAAGGAGATGTGGCCAGTTTTCCTGACCATGTACCTTATTTGCTAACTAAAAGCTTTGCGAATACTGGAGATGAAACATTTGAAAGTCACCAATCACTTCGACAGTGAGGCTTGACAAGCAACCTCGAGGTAGTCCGGATGCACTTGGTTGCACTCAAAGTGGACCAAACTGCTGGTAACCAAGGGCAACAGGGTGGGTCAATGAATACTGAATTGACTTGCAATTCATTATCGTGCAATATGACGTATCAGAGGTAAGTGGTTATTGCAACAAAACTGTCGCTCCCCTTGTCATTTATGCTCCCTATAATTCCTGGTCATTATGTCATCTCGCACAACTTTGAAATAATCTATGCCATTTAATCTAGCATGTTTCTTCTATAGGAAGCATCTTAATCCATTACCTAAGTCGATCTCACATTCCACGATTCTCCTAGCCTGCACTTGACTAATTTATTTTGCTGAGAGCTTGATAGGTACAGTGGGTGTCTTTGAAGTCAATACTGACTGGTGATTGGCCAATTCGCTTCAGACCATTCTTTAATATGTGTCTCACTTCCCATTGAATTCACCCTCCTGAACACGATGTGCATAGTGCTTGTTCTACTTCTTTGCCACATGCATTATCCACTTCACCTCAACCCATCAATAATAGGTGCCAAGTACTCAACGGAGATTACAAGAACCTCGAATCAGAGCTACCACTTTTCTTCTTCCTTCTCCCTGAGATCTCAGTACTCACAGCAATATGAGTGGGAAATTTGACAGAGCAGAAGTAGTGTCATAACGAATGTAAGTATGCATTTCCATCAACAAATCATTTCTGATTTCATTTCTTGATAATATTCTTAACACACTAGTTAAGGAAGAAAGAACTTAGTGATTTTAAATGGCGTGATGCCATCCTGGTGGGGAGAGGAGCGAATCGTCATGATATTTGCAAGACTTTTGACTGCGCAGTTACTTTTAGCTTTGACATCATTCTAGTGAGAGATTCGCAGTCACACAAGTTACTTACCTTCAACCTCTTCTATAGCGGTATCATTCATCCTCCACAGCATCGGCTAACTATATCATACCTCACATACACACGGTTAGAAAGGGACCAAATCTTGAGAATTTGTAGTGCATAGTTTAAGACGACCGTTTCGATATGAGGACACTTCTGATTCCTGTGGAAGTAGCCTTTTTACGAAGACTGCGAACAAAACCATGAGTTCGCCACTTTTCTTACCTCTCTATTCTAATTAATAGACGTCAAATTGGATATGACGAAAGGCTGCAAACAAGTCAGTGCCATCGGTCGCTCGTCAAACATAGGGCTTATCAACAGGAGAGCCATGAAAATCCCTAATCTATTTGTCTAGCATTGGAATGATTCCCAATGTTTATTGTGGGAGGCAATTGACATGGTTTAAAGCAAGTGCGACGAATGATAATTGTAGCGTGAGGTTGTGAGAGAGGTTTGAATATCAGAAAATACTGAAAACAGGGTTAATTTATCCAAGTTTAGGACGAAATTGGATGTATATATAGGGGTTGAACATTATATTCTGAGTGAGTAAATCACGTCTCCATATTCAGAGTTAGTGATTTGAGTTCTAGATTGGAATAAATGCACCCGCATAAATTCGATGATTAGACATGCCACTTTTTTCCCACATACTTGTATTGGTTAATAGAAAATTTGGTCTCTCGTGATGTCCCATTTCTTGCAATTTTAAAATTGAGGGGAGGAAGTGGTGAAAAGGCTTAACACCCGTCAACTAACCCGAATTTAGTTTGAATTTAGTTAATCAGTTTTTATTCTCAATCTGCACGCCTTGGAGAAGCTACAAAAGGCGACTACTCCCTTCAGTGGCATACCTTCTTCAATTTCAAATCGACACTTAGATCAGGTTAACTGCCACAATTCAATGGCGCTTAGACATGGTGTTCTCAGTGTTTGCCACTGAGTTTCCTAGTAAAGGCTAATTACCTCAACATTCCGCATTTTTGCAGGTACAAAGTGAATCATCTAAACGGGAATGCACCGGAGACTTGGGTAAAGGGAAACGCAAGACTGTGAGTAGCCTTAAGAAAACCCTAGTTTAAAGAGTTCTGGTAGAAGAATTGTGAGCACCGAATTGAAAATAGCCTAGCTAATCTGTATGCTCACAATTTCACTAGTATGCATTTGATTCGTCGAAGTCACAGGTGACATGGCGACAGTAAGTACTGGACGTGCACAGTAAACACTGACTGTTTATACAAATTCGGATAAGGATGGTAGTGCTCTGACTGTTCCCAGGCAATCTTTCGCGTTTTCTTCCCAATTCGGAATTTGTTTTGACCTCTTTCGGGTCTATAAAGAGCAAGCGATTGGACTACCTGACAAGTTCCAATAATTGAATCTCGACACCAACATGACGGTGACTGACTGTGAGCAATAATGTTAAGGAATTTGGGGGAAATCAAAACGCGTAAGTTCCTTTCATCAACTTTCATGGCTGATTGCATGTGAGCCCCACTGAAGCAATGCACCAAAAATTTGACGTAAAAATAGTTAGAAGGCATGCAGCTACTGAAAAGAGCTCCTTCTCAATCCGTTAAATGTGCCTTTATTTGAAATGCATGGTTATATTATGACATATTGACGAAATTGTAAATTAAATGGCTACTCATAAGTTAGAGTAACATGCCTAAAAAGTGAAGATTGAAATAGCTTTCCAAAGCCAGTTGAAGTATGTCGTTGTAAGTAAGTGTTAGGAGAAATCTCTGCGGCAATGATAAGGAGTAAGTCATTAATTGGTTGCAGAATATTTCGTAAATTATCGTCAGCTATCGAGTGAGTGTGGAGGAAAGGAACTTCAACTGGGGGAACACAGAACAACGAGGTGTCATCCGAGATGATAAATGATGAAAAACGCGGATCCGTCCAACCACTTTCGATCAGCTTCAACTCAAATCTCCAATCCTGCAGTTTAGTGCCAAACGCATAGGCCCGCAACAATAGGAACATTTCCTGGTGCCTGCTGAATTTATCACCAAGAGTGCCAGTGCTAAAATGTACGAGATATTTCCCCTAAATGTTTGTGCTTAAAGAAAATGCCCCTTTTCTCCTAACTCATTTAAATAATAAATCGTTCTAAGATGTTTTGCATTTTGCTTCGTTTCATAGAGCGAAGAGATGAGAGTAATGGAAACGGTTACGCGAAAAAACTTCGAGGAACGCGTTAAGAAGTAGAGGAAAGGCGGATTTCGGAGTGTGTCTGATGTTGATGTGTTATGAGCATATGCAGTCTTTGAGTGGGGGTGGGGTGGGGTGGAGGGAGATGATAGAGAACGTGATAAATTCCTCGGTGGAGATCGGGCAAGAGGAGTGCACCTTATAGTACTAGGATTAACTTTGAGACCTCGTGGGCTGTATATGCTAGGTGGGCTCAGGGAGCGTTTGAAGGTCCATTGGTGAAAGGCATTACTGTTTGTTCGTGCACTTGTGATGCTGCCCAGTTATGTTCCCATTAGATTGCATGTTCTTTCTTTGAAATCAATTCATTTATTTGTTTGAAGTAGCATCAAGTAGAATATTGTTATTGGCAACCTGAGTTGAAATTCTACGAGGACAATTGAAATTTGGGAAATTGAAGTTAGCAGCATTTTTCATTGAGGAGTTTCAGATTGGAAGGTGGAACAAAGTTTTGTTGTTTACAGGAAGCGTGAAGTACATGATACTTAGACGCCATTATTGCGACAAAATAAAGTATTACAGGATCGACCGTTGCTCATCTGTTCGTTATTTGTCTGAACTGTTAAATTTTATCGCATGGGCTATGGTCGAGGAAGACTTATAAGTAATCAGCTGAATTTTCCCTGAACACTCACGGCACAATTTAAATAGCATAATTTATATTTATTTCAAATGGCGGACTTTATGACACTTATCATTAGCCCTTTAGCTGACTTCGGGCTTCACAGAGGGAAGGTTCATCAAAGTAGCAGAAAGTCGAGGGGTGGGGAAGAGAAGAGCGATTCACGGATGTAAAAGAGGCAGACAGACACAAAGGTAGAGAAAAAGGTAAGGTGGGTACAGTGCAATGGGTCGAATATGACAACCAGGGGGGTCGTGGTAGTTTGAAGTAAGAAGTCAACTGCCGGTTAATAGATTTTTTTGCCGTATGAGTATACGTTGCCCAGGGTGCACCACGTGGAGGTAAGTCTATCGCACACCCCAAATAGCATAATTAGTCTGAATGAATTTCAA